AGCAAAGCATTTTGGATCGCTGGTTTTTAAGCAGTAAGCAATAATGATCGACTATTAAACGTTATAAGATGGATAAATCGTTCTCGTATGGGATGACGAAAGCGTTCTCATAACCGTTGTAATATAAGATGAATGCAATCTCTTCTGCAAGCCTATGAGCGCATTCTGTTTCGTTTCTTGAAAAAAAAAAGACGAAAGAATTTTGAGTATGTTGAATAGTGGTGTTTGTTTGCAGTCGGCATCAGCTATTTGGGATTTCTGTGCATTGGCATCTGAAGGTAATCGACTGCCAGAAGAGGACATACGAAAGACGATATCATTCTGTGCATCATTACTGAATGTTTTTGGAGCGCTCACCTTGACCCTGGAGCGTTTTTCAGAGCAATTATCACTGTTCTATTTGCATTTCGAGTCGGTGGTCGTTCAACTTCTTCAAAAGGTAATCGCGCACTCCGTGATTGTTGCGCTGATTTCGTATGAAATATTCGTTTGTTTAGCGTTTTGCCTTCAATGTTATGTGAGTTTTTGGCGTAGCGTTTTAGACGGACTATTCCAATTGAAAAATTGCGGTGATTTTGTTAGCAGTGAATGGGAAACGATTGGTTGATTGATAGGAACAAGTAAGGTTATGAAAGTGATGTTGAAGAGGTTTGTGTGTTATTAGATGAACCGGATGGGATCTTTGGAAGTGCGAAATGGATGGTGCGATTGCACATTGAGGGAATGAAAACTGATTGAGTGAGAACGAATAAATAGTTTTAGTGAAGTAGATCGCTTGTTGTTGTTGTAGGGTTATGTGAATGCAATTCCGAAACCAGAGCAAAACGGTGATGCAAAAGGGGACGGCCGAATGGTGGAATCAGACGAACCAGCCGGAATGGGCGATGGACAAGGCGATCGGAATGTTGCTGATGAGATGGATAACATGGGACAGGTATTTCTAGTAGTTTTAGTTTCAGTACATTATCCATTATGGTCGATGAACAGCGCAGATAATGAGCCATATGATGGAGGATATTATATTTTGATGATTT